ACAAAAGACATATACACTGCAAAAACAGAAACTTATTGACATAGGTAATAGATGTCAAAATGGCTTCAAATGTATTTAGTATTGTATGAACATGTTTGAATTGGGGGGTGGACGTCACATCCTCTAGGGGGTCCGGGGTATGCCCCCTCGGGAAGAATTTTTTTAACATTTTACAGTAAAATGCTTCAATCTGGTGCACTTTGAGCACACAATTACTAGAGACCTGATCTAGGGGGTACAACTCTAAAACACCCATATGAAAAAGATCGGTTTACATTTTAATAATCAAATAAGTATGTGAACATAACCAATAACCTACCATAGCGAATAACAAATAAATGTAGCTTATTTTATTTTTGTTGTTCATTCATATCTTATTTTACCTAGTTAACATTTATTTATTCATGCATATTTTTGTATCTCTCCAACTTTAAACGATATTTTTGGATTACTGTCCGATAGTACATTGGAATCATTTCAAACCTGTTTTTATGTATCCTAATAATTATAAAGGAGTGCCTTGGAAATATGTGTTTACATAATTTGTGGTCAAAACGTTTGAGACCCACTGAGATAACAGTTAACAATCTAAACACTCAAGAGAGTCCTCTACCTCACCGAGCCTCTCAGTCTGACAGGTGAGCTCTCCTCCACCCTGGTTGTAGAAACATCTACTTCGTATATCCGTTAGCGCAGCTAGCACCAGATTCTAATAACAACAGCGCCGGTACCGGTGCGCCCTCTCTCTCTCTCTCTCCCCCTCGCTCGCTCTCTCGCTTCCATGCTCGCACTTTGGCTGTGAGCTGCGGGCGCCTGATAAGCCAACATCCCCCGCTTTCATCACTTACAGCACCCATCGTACAGGGCAAATGAAAAGTGCAACCGGGATGAAAATGGTGTTACATTTACTTAATTATGAATGTTGTTACATCAAGGCCGAACATTTGGATGAGCGCCAACGGTCAAAAATGTTTTTTCCCTCCCACAGCTACCAGCGCAGCGCCCCCCAGATCTGGCGCCCTAGGCGACCGCCTATGCAAAAAAATCTGGCCTGCCAGTACATACAGTGGCAATGTCTCAAGATTTAGCAAAAATACACCTTTATTGTACATACAGTAACACAATACTACAGATCCACATAACAAACAATCAAAAATGAAAAAGGGTCGCCACTTATTATTATTTTAATTTTTTTTTTTAAAAGTAAAAAAAAAAAAAAATCTTTTTGGGTACCTGACTGGCGCCTCCTAGCAGCGGCGCGCATATTTCAGCAGCGGCACTGCGCCGCCACTATTTGTATATAGGGGAAACACTGAATTACTGTCAAGATCAGTTTATCCTACACATACATACTAGCCGATAAGTAACAAGAAGATGCAGACAGACAGTAGAGAAATGCAAACATGTATTCGAAATCACATCATTACAGATTTTGTCCACCAGAGAGCAGTGACACCCTTGTTTTTCAACTGTAAAAGTAGGGATGTCGTAAGTAGGAAAAACTAAAACATTTGTAATTTTTGTTCAAATTATGTGTGTACATTAAATAAAATCACCATGTTTTTGCTTCAAACAACACATCAGAAATGAAATGTATATATTCGTAACAAGCTTTAAACAAGTTCAAACTCAGTGGAAACAATTAGGTTGTGGAAACAAAATAAGGATTTATCCTTAATTTAGATTTAGTAAATCAAAGATTCTGTTAATTCAACGTTTCCGACAATAAATTGTTAAAATAAAGGTTACATTTACCATCTTAACATCACTTCTGATCACTGGGTTCATATCTTCCTCAGAAACAGGCTACTGGCTCATAAAATACAACATCATCAACATTCACCACAACAACTGGAGCCCCTCAGGGCAGTGTCCTCGGTCCTCTCTTTTACACTACACACATCTGTATCATCACTTCATCCATCATCATATACATCTAATCCTCTGAAACTCCCATCAACTTTCTACTGCATGGCAACAGCCAAAGTGCTTACGTAGTCTGCAGCTGAACATGAACAAAACTGAAGAAGAATGGCACATTAGACACAGCCTACCCAGAACTTAACCCACATCCATCCAGGGAAATACAGTTGAACAGGTGACTCAAATTATTTTCTATTGCTCCCCTCCCACTACTCAAAATCGTAATGCAATGCAGACCATCCTGCTGCACTATCAAATAAATGCAGGAGTAAAAAGTGCAGTATTTGACTCTGACATTTGGTATACAAAGGAAAACAAATGGGAATAGAGGAAGTACAATGCAAGACAAGTAACTCACAATTGTCCCTAACTACTTGACAGCAGTTTTCTAATTATGTTGTTTGAGTGATGGAGGTGGTTACCCTGGTGTTTACATGACGGATTGTGCTTTCAACATAAACAACGAGATTTTTCTATTTTCAACACATTCTCAAATGAACCTAATAAACATACTTCATTGAGTAATGACGAAAGTGTACCTACCTTCACTGTCTGTGTCCTGAAACTCAGTGACCAGAGTTTGTAAATATTCAAACCGGTCAGAGCCCTCTGACGAATCTTTCTTCCACATGTTATTAGTTTAACTATATTAACTCTAGCTATGATAAATAAACTATTTGAGAAACATAAACTTGCCCTTATGCACTGGCTTCTGAATGTTTGTCCATGATAACACTGTGGTCCGTCTGTTAAATGTGTCCGTACAACTACGTGTTTCCGGCTAAACCTTCAACTTAAAATAAATAAATAGTAAGAATATTTGTTTAAATATAAAATAAAACCACCCAAACGCAGTAAAAAACAAAAAAATGTTGGCTTTGGTTGTTGCCACATGCCATCGTGTTTTGCAAAATACATTTGATTGGTACATAAACTATGGCATAAACTAGTGTGAACCGGAAGTCGTGTTACGTGATCAACTCAGGATCAACTGCACGACAAGCAAGGAGGTGTGTATGGAGTGGTTAGCTAAAGGTCAGCTGTGAAGCAAATGTAGGGTAAACTTTGCTTACATTTCGGCCTGTAGGCACTTCACTGCAAATTTAGCTATAATGACGCATCACCAGCTGTCTGCGGTTAAGCGTCTGACCAAACCCTTTTTATTTGGGACGCTTATTGTGGGATTAGGCACTGCTTTCTTCAACAGGTAACTAATGATGTATTGCATTGTGTAAATGTTTTGGTTTTGGGTTTTCCCGTGTATCCCTTATCAATCATCTTCTTACATTGAAAAGCTAACATACAGACATCATTCAGCAGCTATAAACTGTACATTACTCTACATACAAATAACACTACTTACTAGACAGTTATGGACAACTGTGTATGCCTATTTAGCAAATATAATTCATTTAATTATCGACTGATCTGCCAAATATTTTCTGGATTGATTGATTATTCCGTAAACAATTCCTGCAGGACTAATAATTGTGTTGCACAATACACGCATACAGTTTACTATGATATACAAAAACACCTCACATCCTTACATTTGAGAAGCTGGAACCAGTACATATTTTGAGTTTACTTGAAAAATGGCTTAATCGGATATCAATATAGCACAATACAATAAAGTAGTGAAATGCAAAGTTTTAAAGGACACAGACGTGCTTTCCACTATTAATTTCTGTCCGATATTTTATTCCTCCATCATTAATCAATATAATAAATATGATTCCTCCTCTTCCCATGCAGGCACAAGTTCTTTGGGGATTTGGAGGAGCTCAAGGCTCAGGAGCGAGAACGCAACGAGGCCAAGAGGAGGGAGATCATGGAGAGAAGGATGAGGCAGATCGAACAGGTGGCAGAGAAGAAGAGAGGAGGGATCAGCTGAACTGCCGCCTGAACTATCACTGTTGTACTACACGACTCTTCAGACTCTACATGTATATATACTCCTGTACATAGCCTGAAGATATCTATACTGGAGACACATGTGCATGATCACAGAAATAATTTTGGATTATTCAGTCACACACATGAAATGTACTGCTTTGTGTCCGTTTTGAGACATGAATACTCACAATTAAATGACCAATATATGACAAGTACAGCTCTGTTTTTTACTTGTACATGTTTGTCCAGCAGAGGGCAGTGTTGATTACCGTTTAACGGGCATATTGTTTTTTTTCAAAGTATAGTTCTTTAACTATTTATCATATCGTTTTTATATTTTTAAATGCACCCTGTAGGTTTCCATTCGTTCCATTAGGCTTACAAGCTATAAACGGACCCTCATCTGGCTAGTGTCTCATAATTTGCAGTAAATATCATTATGCATTCATTTTGTATGTTACATTAATGATTTAATTTAACAATTAATTTTAATGTGATGCATGCTGATTTAAAAGTAGTCTACAAATACAATACAAGCAAAATAAATGCACCCGAAATGTTCCTTTAATTCAACAGTATGAATTAATTTGCAAAGTTCTAGTTTTATTATGAAGGAATAATCTCCACAGCCCTAGTGATGTTTTTTAATTAATTATTTTGTCTGACTTAAAGTTTACGCCTACATACATGGTTATACAAGACATAAATACCCCCAAAAGTATCATATGCAAATCTGGAATCAGAGAATAATATAAGCATTTGTTTAAAAAATACCTAAAATGATTGATTAATTTCCAAAACAGTTCAATAATTGTAGCGCTCATTTCCGCCACAGCAAACAAAGATTGAAACGTAACAAATGTTACAGAATTGCTCCTTTTATTAAAACATGCCGTAAAAGAAATCTGAAATAAATAAAACCTACAAACTATAACTAACAAACAAGCAATATTGCACTTGAATAAAAAGTGAGTTCAAACAAAGTCAAAGTGCTTCAATTGCTCTGAAAATGTGTTATAAATCAAAAGCTTTTACAACATGATCAAAACTGACTACAGAATAAAAGAATGCTGGTTAACTGGTCTGAACACGACGACAGCACCACTTAAAGGCTGTCGATAAACATTGATCAATATGACCCATACTGTACACATCATGTCACATAGTTCAGAGGATAGATGGTGTTTGATTCACTACAATGACACAGACTCACCTTCCCTTCTTTTCAAAATGCTTGAAACTTAAATTCTATAAAACAGGGGTCACAAGATAACGGTTGAATTCTCAAATCACAGACACAACAGAGATCATGTTTAAAACATTAACCCCACATTTTGCAAACATCAATAATGAATGGAGAACTGGCCATGTGGCACACGATTATTTAGGATATCTGCGCATGTGGCAACCCATATAACTGGTTATTTTCCTTTCATGGTTTCAGCACGTGGATGTGAGTGCACATCACTGACGACTTAACTAAAGTTATTGCTAGTTTAAAGCATAGACTGTAATAATGACAAGGTTTAAAGGCCGAAAAAAGCTGTTGCATTCTTTATTTATTTATTTTTAAAAAACACATTTTAATTGCATATTTAATCAGAGGATTGTGAGACAGCGAGCCCCAACTTGTTATTCAGTAGTTGCCTCTCCGTGTCTTTTATTATTGTTTTGCTCTATGTAGTCTTTTTAATTGTCTTTTTTGGATCATTTGTGTGTCTTTGAAGTTGATTTGTCTTTGTAATTTTTTTAGATGTGTGTCTCTTTTAGTTGTTTCTCTTTATAGTCATTTAAAATATTTGTGTATTTATTTGGTATCACTTTGTTGTTGTTTTTTGTCTTGACTAATTTTAAGGCTCATAGTTTGGTGTTTCTTTGTAGTTGTTTTGAGTCTTTTAGTTGTTGATGTCTCTTTGTAGTTGTTGATGTCTCTTTGTAGTTGTTGATGTCTCTTTGTAGTTGTTTGGTGTCTCGTTGTAGTTGTTGGTGTCTCGTTGTAGTTGTTTGGTGTCTCGTTGTAGTTGTTTGGTGTCTCGTTGTAGTTGTTGGTGTCTCGTTGTAGTTGTTTGGTGTCTCGTTGTAGTTGTTTGGTGTCTCGTTGTAGTCCCCTCATGTTTCTTTGTGGTCATTTTGAGTCTCTTCCTGGGTCGAACACGTGAAACCTGACCCTCTGGCCTGTGGCCGGTAAGCCTGATCAGTAATCAATCCATGCTTTTAGGCTGATATGGTGCACATATTTCACAATTCAGGGTGAGATCCTAGTAAATCTTTACATTTGTGAAGAGTAGATCTTTGTACAAGCCAGTGAGCAAACAGCAGATACAGTAACACATGAAATATACAGACAGCGACCCATAAGTACAGTGTATCGGGTCAGAACAACAGAGAGGGGTACAACAGTACATCAATAACGTTTTACAGTATTTGTCTGAGGCCTTGTCTTCATAGATGTGATTTTCAATTGGAAGGACGATGCATTGGGTTTACCGTCAAACAGCGAGAGGCACTAAGCCCTGGGACGAGGCAGCGGGGGGGGCGGTGATGGCTGTCTGGGTACCAGGCTTCAGTCCATTCACCGACCTGCTGCAAAAACAGTTACAAGAGTTACATTAAACCAGGAAGGTCTCAGAAAGAACAGTGTTGCACAAATGACCTTAACCAGCCACTGTCATACTAACAGGACGTATTAGGCAAAGCCTCCATTACATTTCATTGAATACCACTTCATTAAGGCAGTTATGATTAAACAAGCTGATAATTATGGAAGCCCATTTCTGCCAGGAAAATGTAGGACTGACAAAAATAAAAATACTCATTATTTTATATGTTTTCTATTTTCAAGACCTAAACTTTGATTAAAAATAATGCTTTAATAATTTCACAAATGCATCTTATTTTATTTATGTGAATGTTACATTCACATAAATAAAATAAGATGCATTTGTGAGGCATTTTTGAAAAACTGACGGGATTGCATTTGACTTTGTTTTATGTTTCTTTGAATGGATATGATTTCATGTGAAAATCATGATTGAAAACTAAGTTAGTATTATGATGATGGTAATGACAGTTTTTAAAAACGTTATTTTCCTGGCAGAATTGAACTCCAGTAATAAAAGGGAAAGAAATTGGAAATAAAAGAAAAAAACTGCTTAAATTGTGGGATATATCCCTTCTTAATGTCTCCATCTTATACACACAGGAGCCTGCAGCTAGTAGACAGAGATGGTGCATTTCAAACAAAGTTATGTGTCTGAAGCTAAAAATGGAACTCAAATGCAGAAAGTGGGAAGGAAGCTGCAGCGTTATCCTATCTGACCGGTTACACTGGTTTCTTTTGTCGCTCACAGTCCAACTATGACCAGAATCCCTTTGTTTGCTTTAGGCCTGAGTCATGACTCTGGAACGCACCATTCAGAGCTGGAATGAACGACCTAATAAAATGTAAATAAAGAAAATTGGCAAGCTACATGTATAGGCCTGGTTTGAACTACTAAGAGTTTCTGAATACCAAGGCAATTTTACGCTTTAACACCCTAGTTTCACAAAGTTAAAAGCTTTATTTTCTTTTTTAGGATTATTCAAAGTATGCCAAACTTCTATATACATCAGTGCTAAAGAAACATTGTCTAAAAGGTTGAGAAGTTCTATATTTTAGATCATGAAATACCTGATCAATGAATACATGACCACTTTGGTCATTGATCAAAAAGGTATCAAGCCCTATTCTAATTATACTTCCCTCTAATACAATCAGTAAGACGAGAGGCATCTCCTGACCTTCCTGAAGGTTAGTGGTGTACATATCAAATGCCCTGCTCTGATAGCAGAAGGACAATGACCTTGTTGTGTATGTATCTCAATATGCAGACTCTGCCTCTGTAGTTCTCCCTCACACAGCAGAAACAGTCACATCATCACGCTGCCAGCCTCTGCTCTCACTATCCGCCTCACACAATAACACACAAAGTGCACAAAACATCTGATTAAGTTTTAAGGAATATTTAGATTGAACTAAATGTATATTCTTCCTCTGTGTCATATTGCCAATGGTGGATTAATCCGTTGCTGAAAATTGTCCCCAACAAATGCACTATTTCATCGCGTTTGTTAATAAAAACAGTGAATAGCTTATTATTTTTGGTACTAAGCCTTTTAGCCACACTAACTGCATTGTCAGTCCACAAAATGTTGTTGTGACCTAAATATACCAACTTTTGGATGTATTGGTGTAAAACTTAAAATATTGATGGGTCCCAAATGATGGATCCTACTGACTTACTGTAGGTGATTCCTCGACTTCCCCTCCAGCATACTATGAGGTACAATTTTGGTTTGGAGTGAAAGTCGCTATTTTTTCCGATTCAATACTTTGATTTATGACTTTATACCTCCAAACGTACACATCAGCACTCCACACTCTGTGCTTATATCTCAGCATGCATACTCATCATCATGTTAGCATTGTCATTGTGAGTATTTTAGCATTTCGCTCAAAGAAGACTTCACGTGACAAACGCCTTTTTTTAAATTATTCAAATCCAGCTGTCACCAGACGTACCCATATTTGAAAAAATTAAATGTTATTATGATATAAAATAAAGCAACGGCCAGCAATATTTACTATCCTACTGTCTTATAATTGCAATTAAACTGCTTTTATCCTTAGGTATAATCAAACGTAGAAAACTAAAAAGGACTCTGTTAGGTTGAAAATTCTTTGTTAATAATAAATGGTTATATGTAGGATCAAAACAAACAACAACTCACACTACTAGGAAAGAGATCTATTCAGTCAGCTTAGAGTTAGAGAGACATTAGAAATATTCCAGCACCATTACATTTCACCACCACCACAATCACAAAGTTAGTGGCTGGGGAGTCATCTTCTAGCCCGCAGTCATGGTTAATGTCTATGAGCTCTACATGGAGAAAGAGGTTTGTTATAACCAGCAGCAGCATGCGTTAGTGCACCCCGACACTCAGGGAACAGGAGGAGCCGTCATTACCCAGGATCAATGAGGGGAATGTGACCTTCTCTGTCCTGCTGGGAAGAAACACACTCTCCTCCTTAGTCATCCAACAGACACAATACATATCACATGACCTCTCACCAATGGTGGAAGAAGTATTCTGATGCTTTACTTGAGAAAAGTACTTCTGCAAAACAGCTAAAACACTTATAGTAGTCATTTTTTAGGAAAAGGGATGGAAAATTGTAATTTGAATGTAACTAAAGCTTTCAATTAATGAGGTGAAATTAAAGTAGATGTTTGCACATATTGAAAATAACCTTGAATTTGCACTCAAGTAGAGGACTTGAATACATTGACTTATTACATTTCCCCATCTTCTTTTTACCATATAACACTCGTAATGCATCCTTTAACTAATCTGACTGGAATTAGATCTTGACATTACATTGCAAGATTCTTGTCTATAATCATCCCTGTCTGGATTTAAAGAGATAAAACAGGTAGTAAAAGGCAGGTACATTTTGGTTTCACTCACGCTTTGTCGAAATACGACGTGTGGAGTGATTGTGAGTAGTTAGCCGTGTTTGCGTTGAGCACGTTGCCGTTGTCCAGAGTGTACGCCTTCCTCGCTTTCTGGTCCTTGGCAAAGTTCCTGCAGGCAGCCAGCTTCGACTCCAGAGCCTGAGGTGGAGACATTCAAATAAATAAGAGATGAAGGAAAGATGGGGACTTTCTAGAGAAAGGGAAACCTGAAAACAGGAAGTCTGGAGGACTGACTCACCCCGACTTTCCGCAGTAAATCACTGACGATGTTGAGGGCTGATATTCTGGCAGAAGGAGTCAACGGAGTGTTGCTGCCAAAGCCGTTTGATAGACCTGTACAGAAAGAAAAGTTAAATAAACATATTATTCACTTAATACTACTGCCTATAAAAACATGGAGGTGTTTACTCTGTAGTAAAAAGCGAAATGACATTTCAGAGACTTACTGTCTGGATGAACCTTTATTTTGTGTCATGACCAGTGTTGGAAATAATAATCAGTGCACAGGTCATTGTTCACTTTATGTTTTCAATGTAGTCCTCTTTTTAAAATAACAATAATACTGAGGTGCACTGCATCTTACTGTATTCCCAAATATGATGTCAAAAGAGGGCATTGTTCATCAGGAGAGTAGCCAAAAAGTGTTTTCATTTGTTTTTCATATTTACATAAAGTACAATCAATTGTTAAAGTGTCCCAATATTCATACATGAATAATTAAAGATGCATTCATCCATAAAAAGGGTGTGGCATATAACAATTCAATTTAAAAAGGCACTCGAGTTCATTATGAATGTAGCTCTAACTGCTAAATGCCCAACTATGTCCACCAGCTGTGTCATTGTGCTGTTTGCAGCTGAGCTGGTAGTGTACTGTGGCTTTAACAGATTGTCTCTGATAACATCACACTAACACTGAAATGAAACCACTAAATAACTGGATGATCAAATGCTCCGTGGAGCTGAGAGAAACTGCAGAGTCACTACAAGGGGGCCTTTCACATGTGATCCATTATCAATATAAAAATATTGATCATAGCAGCTCAGAGGATAGAAATGAATATGATCTTATACGAGATACCAGGTATCCTGAGGAAAGCAAGTGTGAAGAGGACACATATCAACCCTTCTTAACCGTCCACTTTCATGTATTATTGTCAACAAACGGATACATATATATTGCTACTGATTTTTTTTTTTTTTCTAAGTGATTAACCTTCCGCCTTCAAAATAAGTGAAAACATAGATTAAAACTAATAAATTGCATTAAAATAAAACAAGGAAAGATTGAAATAAATGAATAAAATAGAAACAAATTTAGAGAAGATAATTTCTTCCCCCTCAGAGACCAGATGCACTTCTTTATTTTTCATAAGAAAGAAGTGGGCTGCTTCTACCTGCGGGGTTGGCGAAGGTGTTGTCCAGACCTTTCTCCATTGGGGTTGCAGGCAAAGAGAGGGAGGCCTGGACAGCCGTGTCCATCTTCTCAGTGTCCTCTGTGGGGGAGCTCAGGGCGGACATCCTGCTCACATCTGTGTTCCTCTCTCGTACAGCCAGCTCCTGCCGCAAATCTACCAAGACATTCAAAATAAAGGAACATTTTGTAGCTCTTCCGCCCTTCAGACTTAAAATGAGGAAAAGCAGATATTTGAAATGGTTGGAGGGGAGCAGCAGTGTGTTAATGTCTGCAGCGTGAGATTGACAGCGTGGCTCATTAGTGAAACCTAGTCAATGATCACCTCTGGCTTCATCCTTAAATCTTTGCACAGAGAAAAGAAGAGACTCCTTCTCATCCAGCTCGCTCTCCAGGAAGGCGTTCCTCTCGATTGCGAGGTTCATACGCTGCTCGAAGTTCTCCAGAGACACGATGGTAGCTCTGAGGAAGGAGGTAGAAGCAATGTTGAGATTGACATTTTATTAATTCAATATCCTCACGGGGGCTCCTTTCTGTATGTCTTTAATACTCATGAATCATTATTCAAGTATGAATAAGAGATCAATATGTGCAGCATTGATTTAATTAAGTTCAAGGAAAGCAAGCAATTGAATTTAAGATAAGATAAGATGGACCTTTATTAATCCCTGTGAGGATTCCCCACGGGGTTCATATTTGACCCATATGTTCATTGTAACAAAGACTGTTTCCATATAGTTTACACAGGGATCACAAAGAAACTGATTTGACGGTGGAAAAACATATTTTGTCAATATTTTGTAAATCCTGTATCATCCTTATAATCCAAAAATAAATCTTATTTAGTGATCCATAAAAAAGCTTTTATATTGTGTTTTTTCTATCTTGTTCTCAATATATCGCTCATTAGTGTTTCAATGACTGTTTGCAGTGGTTCTGATTTTATTATGTGTTTTATCCCTTTACAGCCTAACCGCAAATTAGCATTGGCTAGAAGTCCTATACACATTGCATTGTTTACATTTTATTTAAATATAAATTCACCTGTAAGTGGTTTCCGTGTCATATAGATGAATACATTAAATTGTATTCAATTATATACAAATACATCTCGTCTATGGTGCATTGCGCAAATAATAAAGAAACACATCTTCATCTGGTGACAAGAATCCAATGTAACTCAGGATTCAAATGCTTCATAGAGAAGTGATATAGTCAAATAAAGAAGAGATTTTTAATTAGTTTCAAATGTGAGCCCTTTCACACCTTTTGGCTCTCTCCAGGTCATCGTTGGACTGCTCCAGCTCCCGGACGTATTTGTGGAGCTGATCTTTGATGCTGCGTGTCTGGCCGAGGTCGTCCTCCAGCATGGAGATCTGCTTGTAGCTCTGAGAGTACTGCTGCTCAAACCTCTCCTGAAGAAGGGGAGGAAGAGGAGAAAGAGAAGAGGATGAAGACAGACAGCACATTATTGATCGCATGTGTTCAATCTGGGACATGTCGGGCAGGAGACGTGATTGAACATTTTTCAGTGCTCCCCTTCATTTCCCCAGTTAGGCAGCGGATGTGGAGTGTGACCTAAATATCTACCAGCTCCGAGACAATCAGCTCAATAAATACCGCCGGGCCCGTTTGCGTCTGACCTACATCTGCTGCTTCAACTGCAGCCACACAGGAGTCTTTTCACTCCAGAGGCTCATTCAGCACATGCCAGTTACACAAGTAACATCAAGAACACGTTGTGTGCTGTGATGTGACTTTTGTACGGGGGCCTTGAGGTGCGAAACACAAGCAAGATAAGATGAAACATGTTATCGACTGAGAAAACGGAGCAACACATTTGTTTTAACCCACAACATTCAAAACAACAATTCTCTAGTGTTGGTTTTGGAATAAAATGGTTTTCTAGATTTGAATTATTTTGCAAAATGCTGTGTTTTATAAAATAGTGTTTTTATAAGATTATATTTTCCTATGTTGTGTTTTCTTAAAAATAGTAATTTATTTTTGTGAATTCCCTTTTCAAATATTTAGTTTCCTGCATTTTGTGAAATAGTATTGTGTTAGATACGCTTTCTTGATTTATTACAGTTTCACTAATGCTGTTGTGTTTTCACCTTTATGCCACCGTAGTTTCTTAATCAAAACTGCAGACAATGGATGAAATGTATAATGAACACAACACCATTTTACTACACAATTTCTAAAATGTTGCCTCTTCTCAAAGTTAATCTTTTTTCTGAAATGGTGTTTGTACGGAAGACTGTATCAGTGGGTAAAACCATTTGAGCCAATAGTATCATGAAAATCAAAAACATATTCACAAAAAGCAATTGATGTTGTTGGACATACTATCACTATTCTCCAACAGACAAATTATCCACCTGATGTGTAGAACCTGAAACCTGACAGACACTTTGGCTCACAAACATCTCATCCCAGCTGGAAACATGGACACACAAAGGGCATCCCGCCTTCCTGTAATTATGGAGCGAGAATCAGACACAACCTGATGCATTATGTATGAGAGACAAACAGTGTGCAGCCAGCTTAGGGCAGAGCAGGTGTTGTTGGGTAAGTAATGAAATAAGAAAAAAAACTGGTGTATCAGCACTTTCTGGGGGTGAGATTAACATTTAGATTGCACATGGACTCACAGACTATATCAACTCCAGGATTCCACTGAGGCAAAAAAAGGAGTTGGAGTTAGGCCTCCGACAAGCAGAGACACACACAAATTCTATCATTATACACACTTTTTTTGGTTGTGCGTTCGACAAGGTTTGATCTAAACATTTCCCATGACCTTTTACATACAGTACAATCATAATGGCAAAGCTGCAGGTGCACAAACAAAATAAGTGCTGAGTGCATCCTGGGGAGCAGCAGCTGCTACAGAGGGACTTTACGTGTCCTCCCAAGAGACTGCACTCAAGGACGGGTGGTGATATAAGGAATAAAAAAACCATCAAATATTAATTTCAAGGGAATACATGGAGATATGCAATTTGTTCTTGATTCAGAGCTTACAGTACAACGAGAGCTATTTGTAAAAATATTGTTTTCAAAACAGGACGCATATCTTAGCTTTTTCTGGGGAAATTATCATGGGATTTTGGATAATAAAAAATATATATTAAAATGATTAAAGACTCATCCAGTACTGCTTTTTTAAATAAAACAATTAATAGTTTAGTCAATAAAATGTAAACACATTTTTTGTTTATTGAGGACAAAGGGACCTCTCAATATTCCCCTTTCAAATGAACCAACGTATCTCTTTTACAATGAACATAACTACTGTAGTCCTAGCTCCAAAAGTTGCACAAATCAGCAGATATATCAAATCCTCATTTAAATATTATATTTAAATACAGATTTAGCTGGATCTTGCAACAGAGAGTGCTAACGTTAGTTAATCTGTGTCAAATCTTAAAGCTAACATTGACTGACTTTTGCAAACACACTAGCTAGCTAATTTTCTTAATGCTTAACATGTTTCTTAGGTAGGTAAATATCTAATCTTAGCTAAATCAAATATAAAAACATTAGACAGTGCCCTCTTGAGAGAAGAAGTTTATATAATGTCATACCATTGGAAACGCTTGCAATGAGCCATCTTTATTATGTTTGTTGTCAGTTAGCATTGTATACTTTATATACGGTACTGTATTATAATATATTATCCAATCATTCGAAACTGGAAGGATAATACTGACTCAAACACATGTTGATATTTGTATGCATATAAATATCAAACTTAGCTGTGTCAAACCAACACTTTAACAGCTCGGTTCAGATCAGATGGACATATTAGAAAGAAACACATTCCTACATCCTCTTCCTCCTGCAGTTACCTTGAGCGAGTCCACCTCACTCTTGAGTCTGTGGTTCTCCGACTGCAAGTCCTTCATGCGGTGCTCGGCCTGGCCCAGCTGTGCCTCCAGCTCGGCCTCCAGCTCCCGGCTCCCCTCCTGAAACTCCAGCAGCTCCTCCTGCGCCTCCTGACAGCTGAGGGCACACAGAGGAGGAGAGGCCATTACACAACAGGCCTAGACAGAAATGGGTTTGTGAGAGCCACGGGAGGCACGGCATGTGGCTGCATCCATTATTATTTATATTTTGTTATCCTAAATAGGCTCTGACCCAGAAAAAAATTCAACAAACTACAACATGATAATCAAATACAGTATGTATTTGAGTGGCAGGTCATCAATCATGGGATGATGGGAATTGTCAAAGTAAGTACGAATTTAAACAGCAGGGGTTGGCCATCGATTCTTCAAATGATCAACCGTCAATATCATCAATATCAGTGGATCCTGATCAAGTACACCCTACAGTACTTAAATACACATTTGAGGTACGTATTTTTCTTTGTGTATAATCTGTATATATATATATATATATATATATACAGGACGGTCTCAGAAAATTAGAATATTGTGATAAAGTTCTTTATTTTCTGTAATGCAATTTAAAAAAACAAAAATGTCATACATTCTGGATTCATTACAAATCAACTGAAATATTGCAAGCCTTTTATTATTTTAATATTGCTGATTATGGCATACAGCTTAAGAAAACTCAAAAATCCTATCTCAAAAAATTAGAATAGTTCCTCAGACCAAGTAAAAAAAAAAGATTTATAACAGCAAAACACAATCAAACATTTGAAAATGTCCATTAATGCACTCAGTACTTGGTTGGGAATCCTTTTGCACGGATTACTGCATCAATGCGGCGTGGATGGAGGCAATCAGCCTGTGGCATTGCTCGAGGTGTTATGGGATCGCCCAGGATGCTTCAATAGCGGCCTTTAGCTCATTAGCATTGTTGGGTCTGGTGTCTTTNAGCCATTTTCAGATTCTTTGTGAATAGGTCCTACTGAGTTAGGAGTCCTCTCGAGGACTTTTAAGCTCTCCCAGACTTAGGTGCTACTTTTAGGCTTAATTTAAGCCTAAAAGTAGCACCTAAGTCTGGGAGAGCTTAAAAGTCCTCGAGAGGACTCCTAACTCAGTAGGACCTATTCACAAAGAATCTGAAAATGGCTGAGAGACGAAATGTTTTGGAGACAATGGAAGACTGTGAATTGATCAAGAGATATAGGCTAAATCGTGAGGGTATCAAACTTGTTGTGGAATTAGTGCGGGATGCAATAACATCCCCGACTAACAGGAATAACCCGATTAGTCCGGAAATAAAATGTTTG